ATGGAGGTGCTCTACGTGTTCTATTTCAGACCGCGGCAAGAGATACTTCAAAGGAGTGAACCAGCCCTTCTATTCTCTTTAGCCCTGGCCTAGACCACGAAATCTCAGTTATCATAATATCCACAGTGGGTCTTTGGTTCAAGGTTTTTATGAAGGGGAAAACCATGGAACTGCTACAGGGTCTTCAATAATTTTAAAAATCGACCGTAGTTTTAGTATGACATCGGCAGGCAATTTCATTGCTTATTGGAGGAGTTTCTATTAATTTGAGGACTTTAGGTGCAATAACAAGGTAAGTCCAGATACAATGATTGTCAGTGTGTGCCAAAAGGCTTACATAACTTTCTCTAACAGAATTTACCGGAGGAGTGGACTGATTTTAAATTCGTGCACAAATCGAAGCAACTATGCCCATAATCTAAAAATTTTTTGACTTACCCTTAAAATTGAACAGAGCCTGTCAACTGCCTTACAAGTTCCCTGTTTCCTTTTAAGGGTGGTTATTACGGAACCTCCTATGTACGATGCTTCGTTGTAATGAATGGAACTTTTTACTTTCATTTCAGTTGTCACTGCCCTTCAGGATATGAAGGTGACAGATGTGAAACTAATATTGACGATTGCATGGACAACAAATGTGAAAACAATGCCACCTGCATCGATCTTATTGAAGAATATGAATGCCGATGCAATCCTGGCTATACTGGTAAGTTTTTTAACAAAGGAAAGGAAATTAAAATTAATTTTCTAGTAAATTAATGTAATGCAAGTTAGTTACTTGAGTTTTGTTTATAAACAGGTGTATTATAAAATAACTTTGCCGACAAGTAACCCTCTAGGGAGCATATTGCTTGAGTGAAAGGGAATAAAATTTGGTACACGTTTATTATGTTTATTGCGCTGAAGAATGCTGGTTATAAACGATTGCGCAGTTCTTGCGGTTACAGTGATAAAAATTTGAAATGGCAATACCCACTTATTTTGATGGGAGCGTAATCCTTGCATTGAGAAACTTAAAATGAAGCTGGAACGACATTTTTAGCACAAGAAATTGCGCAATCGTTTATAACAGCATTCTTGAACGCAACGATCTTATTACCTATGTACAAAATTTTACTCCATTCAATCAAACAGTATACTCTCTAGAGCGTTTTATGTCGGTAATGTTATTTTATAAAGAGGGTTTATATGTCGGCAATGTTATTTTATAAACTCCCTGTATATATTTTTAAAACATAACAATATGAGAAACTATTTATGTACAAAATGCTGACTACTATCAATATTAAAAATCACTCTATACTCTATGTAATTCTTTAATTTGTAACTAACTATAAATGAAAGTAATAGTAACAATGGCTTCGTACGTATGTTTCAGGAAATTATTGTGAAAAGAAAATAAATTTCTGTACAAAAGAATTCAACCCTTGCAAAAATGGTGCCACCTGCATCGATGAAAACTATTCTTATAGGTAAAATAGTAATAAGAGTTTGTACATGATTCAGCACGTAATTATTGATCACATTCTAAACATATTCTCTCTTTTTTTCACAATTACAGTTGTGCATGTTCACTTGGGTTCACCGGCGAAAATTGCACTATTAACATCAATGACTGTTTAGATCATCTATGCCAAAATGGCGGCACCTGCATCGACGGCATTAACACTTACAGATGCCAGTGCCAGGATGGATTCTCGGGAGCCTTTTGCGAATTGGAAAACATGGTTGACCTACTGTACCCTCAAACTAGTCCTTGTCAACACCATGATTGCAAACATGGTGTCTGTTTCATGCCAAGCAACGCAAAAGACTATATCTGTAAATGCTCGCACGGTTTCACAGGTAAGCGTTGTGAATCGCTTTCCAGCATTAGTTTTCACGAGGGATCTTACGTGGAGTTGGATCCACTGCTTACTAAACCAGACGCCAAAATCTCGATAACTTTTGCAACTCAGCAAAGTTACGGGGTAATGCTGTACAATGGTGAAGCCCAGCATTTGGCTGTAGAGCTGTTTAGAGGCAGAATTAGAGTCAGCTACGATGTTGGTAACTACCCTGTGTCGACTATGTTTAGTTACGAAACGGTCAGTGACGGCGAACCCCATGTTGTAGAACTTTCCCTTATAAAAAAGAACTTCACTATGAGGGTTGATAATGGCACATCCAGAACTATTGTTAACGAAGGACCTAAAGATTACCTGGAGGTATCGTCACCTTTGTATATGGGCGGTGTTTCTGATGAGGCTGCTAGCAGTGCTCTTCGTCAGTGGCACCTAAGGAATGCATCAAGCTTTGAAGGTAAGAGTTGGTTTTTATTATAATTTTTATATAGGAGCTGTGGCGGCCATGGGGACAAAGTGCTCACCTCCCGATGAGGTGAGCAAGGTTAAAATACCAACTATGGCTGGCCGATAAGACTTCCGCGCATGGTTCGCACTGATCATAGTGCTGACGTAAAATTTACTCAATAGCTCGACGGATCATGGGTTAGAGGTCCCTTGCCCTCAGGCTTCGTGGTTTTTCTCGCCATGTAACGCAAACGTGGGTTAGTCTCATCAAAGAATCCTACACGAAGGCTAGTTTGTCCCGATGTTTGACGCATGAGTTTTCTAGATTGAGTTTAAAATAACAAGAGTGTGGAGTTGAACATTGGTAGTCGTAAATCGACTGTTCAACTATCGTTACATTATAATTCTGTCAATCTAATTAAAAAACTTCACTTGCAAAAAAGAGTCTCGTGCTGTATGCTGTTATGGAAATAAGAAAACGTGCATTTAAAAAGGGGAGTTTTTGATAATTTTCTTGGAAACCCGTGTCAAAATTTGTCCGAAATGTTTACCTCCACACCCTACTTGACATATGTAGTTTAAACTTGTAATCATAGACATCAGACAAGGGGAATTTATGTGTTATATTGCCAGTATGAAGCTACGAATCAGAGTTTGGAACTGTTTGTATTGTTGGAAACATCATATAAGCTTAAAAATAAGAAATCGGAAAATTATTTTGAGCACAAGATACTATTTTGATTTAGATTAGCACAAGATACTATCTTGAAGTCTAACTGCTAGGAAGACCATGGTCTAACATGAATTGTCAGAAAGCAAGAAGTAAGCAATTCAAAACATTCTTACTCTAAAGACGTTACAAACTCAACCGAAACATAGCAGCAAATTTAAAACGTCAAAATGAAGATATAACTGCGAACCAAACACTAGATAGATAAAAACAATCGCAGTACATTAATGGTTGTAACGTTTTTACATTAGGTGTATCGTGGTCTCAAACACTACACAAGTCCTTTTAGTTTTTATAATAATGTAATTAATGAGGCATATTTTTTCAAGAATTTTCTTTCTTATCGAGTACATTAAAGCAGTTACTGGACAATGTGTTAAACTTGATTACTCTGAAAATAGTTGAATGCAACTTCTAGTTACTTATACAAATTTTCTAAGAAACGCGAATTATTCATTATATATAACAGCAATACTCTTTAATCTTGTATCCAAACAGGTTGCATGAAGGATGTGCGACTGAATGGCAAATTGCTCGATTTCATGGTGGCCAGGAAGCAACAACGCGTGACACCGGGATGCGCAGAGCTCGAAGATCCGAAACCCTGCAAAGAGCATCTCTGCCAGAAAGGAAAATGTGTACCAACTGATAAAAACAGTTACGAGTGCCAGTGTAGGAAAGGATGGAGTGGGAGACATTGTGACCAAGGTATGCCACTTTTATACGATTAAAAATATTCTTAAAATTCCATATAGCTAGGAAATCTATTAAATAGATGTTACCAAATTTGTAAAAGATATATTTAGAATTATAGAATCTTAAGAACTTGACACCATTTTGGAACAAATCGGTGTTAAGTTTCACTAAATGAAACTCAAAATATGAAAAGAAAAAAGGGTCACCCAAAGATATTCAAATTTTCCAGTCTACAGCTATGAAGTCAAAACGTTTAACACATTTGGGGTTGCAAATTAATATTTAAATAAAAGCGATAAACCATAACAAATCAGTTTTTTTTTATGGAACTAAATACATTCCCTGAACTTCATCCTGAAATGAATTAGCTCCATGCCGGCCAGATGGCCGAGCGGTTAGCGTGCCTGACTGCGAAGCCATAGGCTGCGAGTACGAATCCCGCTCTGGGCATGAATGTTTCTCTCTCTCTTTGTGCTGTCCTCTGTTGTGTGAATGTGGCCCACCCTATAAACGGGTTTGTGGCAGTGCGGCGTGGGCAATGTTGCTCGCCTCCGAGACTTTGGTTCACAGGTGCCCACTGGGTAACGCGAAATGAGCAACAATTCTGGCATAGTATAGGCAAAGATTCAAATTCAGTGCCTGCCATTGGAAAAAAGAAAAAAAATAATTAGCTCCATGTGAATTTTAATTCCACCTCTTTCTCTAATTAACTGATAAGGCGGGTCAGGATAGCCCGGAAGAGAACCAGGTTCAAATCCCATCGGATATTGTTCGATCTGTATACTGCCTCCAGCTATGCCCAACCACAACGACATAAACTATCTTCTCTGGTGGACGTATGGTCGATTAGAATTCCCTTGCCATCAGGCTAACAGTGGGAAATTTTCGGGTTTGCCTCGTGTGACGCAAATGTGGTTCCATCAAAAAAAAATTGGGGAAGTTAAGTTCAATGCTTGATCTAGGAGTTTCTTTGGTTGGGATCCAAATTACACGGCTAATGATTGGAACATTGATAGCAGCAAATTGATTGAGCAGGCTATTCAACGACGGAAATAAATAAGTTGAGATTTCCTAAAATACGTCACTAATGGGACTCAAAATGTCTCGCTTAAATGTTAACAAGGAATCTAAGATTATATATAGATTAAGAAAGACAATTGCAGAACAGCCTGCGTGTAAAATCCATGCTGTTCTGTAAAAAACGAAATTACCTATTCTTTCACGATGACAGCATGAATGAATTGGGTGATATCAATGGGTCGAATTGCAGGTAAACGCGGTTAAACTTCATGTTCTCCAAAGATTTAAGTAATAGTCATGAAGTTTTCATTAAACTTTGCCAACATTTTTATCCAAGGGCAGACATACACTAAGATGCAGAACTCTCTTTTTCAGCTCCATCTTGCCAGAAGGAACAATACAGAGAGTACCTGGAAGAAAATGGCTGCCGTTCAACAAAAATGATCAAAATGGCTAACTGCGTCGGATCCTGTGGAGACCAATGCTGTAGACCACAGAGGATAAAGCGCAGAAGCGTTCGCATGACATGCCCGAACGGCACAAAATATTCAACACAAGTTGATGTCATCAGAAAATGTAAATGTGTTCAAAAATGTTAAAATATTTAACACCGAATTACAAATTTCGGTCCCCGCGGACAAATGAACTTCATATGCAAAAAAAAAAGGACTTAACTCATCGTTTTTTTTTTATTTTGAAAAAGGATGATTATCTTTTTCCTGTTAACCAATTGACAGCTAAGAAAATCGACGTTGCGTTTGCGGCCAGATAATGCAAGGCGTGCCAACGCAAATGCCCACCAAGCGCGCCATCAAAAAATTAGAGGTAAAGCAAAGACACATTTTTTTCGTGCAAATGCCCACTAGATGTTAAGTTGAAAACACCACTCAGTCAAGCTGAAGCATTAGATGTCATGGCTTATTCACATTTGTAATGCGCAAAGCTCTTAGGTATCAGGCTATCACTTGCATTTCACAGATGTTTTTAAAACATACAGAAAAACACTTACGTGTGCAGTTATCTATTAGATTTTTGAAAAAAGGAGAATATGTGTTTCAATTCAGAAATTGGTTTACCAATATTGAGTTTCTTTGGAATAGACATTCCAATAAAAAAATGTGGTTTAGATTTAAGTAAAACTATTTTGTTTTCATTTCTGAAAACAGTGAAATTAAACTTTGAACGTCAATCGTTTTTGTTTACTTAGTTTTAAAAACTTAAATGTAATGGAATAAACCTTCAGGCTATAAAATAATGATAGGGTAATTAGTCAACATAATAAAAGAAAATTGTACCATCGTATGAGGTGATCTTGGCCCAATAAACAAAATATTGCACATGCTGTATTTAGACAGAGTGATTATCACTTATTTATTACAATGGTAATTAAATTGCAATAAATAATTGATAACCACTCTACTTGGTCTAGGTACAGCATATATAATCTTTTTGTTTTTTAGGATTAAGTTATCCTAGTTGAATATACATTAAGGTCATCACTGTAGCATTGATATTGCAATAAAATTAAAGAAATATGTTAAGCAATTAACACAAATAAAAAGCTCTAGCTATCAAATTTTAGCATACATATTCTCTGTGTATGTGACTACTCATACTACAGTGAAATGCAGCATGAGTCAAACCTACCAACATACAGAAAACAATAATTTTATAAACTACGGAATAATTAAAGAGGCAAAACATATTAGAAACTTAATTTTGCTGCAATATTAATCATTTTTGGATACTGAACTACACAGATTTTGCTATACCTTCCAGCAAATTATGAATGGAATTACACTATGTTTATAATTTCATATGGCAGATTTAAGGTTGCACTCTTTGTTATCAGCAAATATTTGTAAATTTATAAGTGTTCTTTGCTCTTGTCAATAAAAAAAATTTGTGTATATTTGGTTTCATTAGGCAAATAGTAGCATTCAAGTTAGTAAATTAAGATATGAAGGCATTTTATGTCAATTGACACTAGCTTTTCATGCAACCCATTGATATCATTGTTGATGTATTTTATTAAGGAAAAAATTAGTATAATCCATGCCATATTCATTTTAACCCTAATGTGAAAATATTAGAAACATCAATACTTATGGTGTATTATAATTTAACAATCTATATAATTTCCAGATGCATAACAGACATAGCACTATATAAAACAAATTCCACTAAAATACCTATTTATAAGTAGTGTAAGGTCCATATTCCTCCTCTTAACTTTCAAACAAATGAAGCTTATAATAAAAATCTAGGTTTAGTAAAATGGCTAAGCAATACAGTCAAGCGGACGTAATAGCTCATTTGTTTGCTTGCAATATCCTACACCGTAGCGTAAAAAAAAAGACATTGTTAATTTAGATCATTACTTTTCACCACAATGTAGGAAATCACGTAAGCGTTATTTTTTTTAGCAGTAATGCTCTCAAAATGTTTGTTTTTATTTCATCGATACTGCTCAGCAACTTCATATTTTCCCCTCTCGTTCATTTACTTTTTTCTTCTCTTTATTCACTTTTTTGTATCATTTTCACAATCAAACTGTAATTCTGTACCACTTCTGTAATTTCGCACTAGGTGACATAGTAAACGGTCTCATCTTGTAGCTCTTTTACTACACCTAGACACCACTTTCATAATTATAGTAACAGCTGTTTGAAAGTTAAAAGGGTGGATACGGACTTAAGTGAGCACCCAAATTTTTTACATTGTCTTTTAACCCCATTACTTTTAAACTAGAGCTAATTTACATATAAAGTACACTTATATCTACATATTCCAAAATATGTAAAACTTGATCAAAACACAAATTATTGACTGAAATATAAGTATTTACTTGATACAGTAAACTTTAATATGTGATAAATATTTCTATATATACAAATAATTTGATTTAAGGAACTGTTAAATTTTTGAATACTTACGCCTAAAACGTTAAGCTTTAAATCTGAAAGAAAGATTAATATTGATTTGATAAATATCAACCAGCAAATAACTCATTCTTTAAGCTTAACTATCAACCAGCAAGTAAATCATTCTATAAAGTTAAAAGTCAATTAGCAAGTTAATTCTATGAATTCAAACATTACCCACAGAAAATAAACTCACAATAAAATTATTCACAAAAAATAAAATGTTTTACATTTCAGAAAAATACTTAAATAGTATCAAGGAAAACGTAAAAGCTATGTTTTTTTTTAATGTATTTCTAAGATTTGTGTCTAGTTCTAAGAATATTTCATTTTAAAAAATAAATACTTTTAACATCAATACTTAAAAATTATACTGTTTAAAAATCACATTTTTACCTAGTATAAAACTTTCACTGTATTACAGATTGTGCAACTTTGAATAAATATACAATTTAGCATTTTGAAAATTGAGTTCAATATCTTTAAAATATATAATACCAAAACAAACGTTTACCAACATTAATATAATGTTACAAATTATTTATAATTAACAAAAAATATATAAATTTTTCACTTGTATTACATAAATTGTAGGGTAGATTATCAATGCTTTTGTATGTTGTATAAATGTGTACAAGCCTGTTTGTTATAAATAGGTAGTAAATTTGTAAATTGTTTTTGTGAGAGTCTACAAAATATAACTTGTTTGTTGAGCTAGTGTTATCACTTACAAATTGCTTTGTACATATTTTTGTTTACTTTGTTTTTATTACATTTTAACACATACATACAATGTAGAGCCATTTTCTTTTAAACTAATTATGATATACTCGTATCTTGTATAAAAAAATAATTTGCATCATAATTTACTAAGTAGACATTTTGTCATTCTTTATTATAAAAGCACTTTGAAAATAAATTTTATAAAAACGAAAACATTTAGTGACATCAAGTAATTACTTGCATATAAGAGAAAATATTTAGAAACATTTGCACAAGAAAGTACAAACTTAAAAAAAGAAAAGAAAACATTTTTTCAAGAGATATCTCATTTATACATGCATGGTTTTAACAAACGCTAAACAAAATTTGAAATAAAAATTCCCTGTTTCACATGTATGATTGAATACTCTAATATCTCCTTAATTTAAATTTGTAGATAAATTCCAGAGCTTCATATTTGTATTCATTACATCAGTGTTTCCCAAACTTATGACTTTTGTGTACCCTTTCAAAATTTTTCGTAACGCTGTGTACCACTAATAAAAAAATTAAAGTATTTTTTGACAAATATGTTTATTTAGAATGGAGAATAAAGTTAAAAATCACAACTGACTGTTGACACCACTAAATATTAACTGTTAACTCTGCAAAAAAAGACAATAGAAAAATACGTAATCGTAAATTTTCATGGCTAGCATTGTTTTTAAATATTTTTTTTTTAAATTTTCGTTTGTTGCAAGATATTTCGCTTAAGAACGCGTACCCCCGCTAAACTGCTCCTGTACCCCTGGGGGTACGCGTACCACACTTTGGGAAACACTGCATTACATGACATGACATGATTCTTATTATTTAAAATAAAGTATACTTAAAAATTGAAAAGCCACAGACAAATAACAAAACTATTATAAGTGTCCTGACTTTAAAAAATAAGTAATATCAATACAAAAAGGTACAAACTAAAAAGGGGAAACATTTCAATAGAATTGGTGTTCATATAGAAGTAATATGATGTATAAAGTTTGAAACAAAAACCGCTAGTTTGATCAAATACCCCCAAATTAAGTCAAAATTGATACACAAAAATGTTTACATACACTTCAGCGTGGAATTTAAAACATATGTATTTAAATAACTATTTAATTAGCCTAAATATATTTAAAAAAATTCTTATCATTCAAGACAATAAGTAAATTTTAAATTGAGCAAAACACTAATTGAACAAAGCAAATTAATTTTGGAAATTTCTTTTATAAAAAAATGCTTTGAAAGAATATTTCTTTTATTATAGGATGACTGAAAGAAAGGAGTTCCAGAATTATATAACATCAAATAAAAATCAAATTAATATTTTTCTCTAAATAAATAATTTTAATGGAAAATTACAAATAACAACAGTTACATATCACACAAAATTAACCTTTTATAGGACTATAAGAAGTACAATTCCCATTAACTTCATGAATTTTTAAATGTTGACAGGAAACTATTTTCCCACATAAGATTTAAACAGTCATCTAATTATAACTTCAGAAAATAATAATACTAACAGTAAAGGATTTTGCTCACTTAAATGTAGATAACAGTTAAGAGTTGCCTGGGGTCGGGAACTGAAAAACTGTTATCTTTTGTAACTTATCCGTTCTTTCATTTCATCATCTCTTATCAAGTTTATTAATAGTTATAAACACAGAAATTATAAATTTTGTTATTTATAAACGTATAAAAAAACTTAAGGTAATGTAAAAAATGGCCCCAATAAAGGTTTAAAATAATGAATTGAATTTAAAAAAATTTCACAGACTAGATGACATTGTATGGCAAACCACAAATAGCTACACATTGCACAAAATTAAAAAAGTTAAGAAAAATCTGAGATACAAATATTTTTTTTTTCTTTCCCATACTTAAAACCCATAACTCAAGAAAGAATTACTGTCTATGTTTAAAACAATTTTTTCTTAAATATGTTTTGTGGCAAGTGCCTCGTTTGATAATGATTGAAAGCATGATATTTCTCAATGCTGGGCATTTGTACTGCAGTAGTGTAATTTTATCCAGTTCCAGTTTTTTAGTGTTTAAGTATTTTACTAGTAAAATATTACTTGAATGTTTCTTGTGAATAATTTATAATTATGAACTTCGTTTCAATCAATCTGTATATTTGTGCAGCACTGAAAATATATATTTGTATTTCTGTTCTTTTAATATCTAGAAATTATTCACTTTGCTTCTTATAGAAATAAACTGGTCACGTTTCTATTAACATTCAAAAGATTGTCTTTTTTATGTGTTTCCTTAAAGGACTCATTCTCACATTCATTAAACAATATTGAAGTATAAAACCAGGAACCGTTGTAAGCATTCACCACCTCGCCAAATGCAATACAATCCTAGATATTGCAAATAAGATTGTGTTTTGAATTATGTAGCTATGCAGGGATGATTGTGAGCCCAAGTCAAAATTCCAGAAAATTTCTTGAGTTGAAAAAAAAAAGTTTAAATTGAAAAAAATTTAAACAAGTTTATTTTTCATTTTTCTCAATATTTCTTAGTTTACTTAAAATATATTTACAATTTTACACATACCTATACCATTTACACATACCTATGACCTGGAGAAGTAATTAAAATTTACAAATATGTCTTTTTTTTCTTGAGTTTATGATTATAACAACTATTTACTGATAAAAAATGAATATTAATCATGATTATAAGCTTATATAGTATCTCTCTGGCTCTCCCTTACAAACAAATAAAATAAACTGTGTTTAAGTTCCAACTTTGAAAATTTGATTTCCGGAAACTTCTGTGATCAATGATTTTTTTAAACCTCTGGACCTTCAATCTCCGGAAACTTTCGGATCACTGTTAGCGAAAAATCCGGAAATCCGGATTTTTTCCGGAGCACAATCAGCCCTGGCTATGAGACATTAGTTGAAATGTATACTTTGAAAATATCGATAGGTTTTAGTGGTTTTGCTCTCCATGCAACGCAAATGCGGGTTCGTTCCATCTTAAAGTCCTCCACAAAGGCAAATTTCTTCCAATACTTAACCCAGGGGTTTTTTGGATTGGGTTCAAAATTACAAGGCTACGGAGTTGAAATTTGGTGGTAACAAATTCACAATTGGGTCAGCTGTTCAACAAAGGTTAGAAAATACAATGTAAAAAAGTAGATCCGATTTGATTATTGGTTTTTATAGCTTATGTTTTAAATTTTAATGACATTTTTAATTATTATTATAGGAAATGTTCCGTATAAGTACCAAACAGACAAAATAGTGTAACCAAAGTGTACACAACTCGAGTTATTTTATACTTCATTCTTATTTGTAATACCAACAGAATGCCTCAGTGGTGTAATTTTTCATACTTAAAAACTTATGATTGAACATGAATGACTAAGTTGATAAAGTTTTGCATTATAAACCGAAAAATATATTGCTATTAAAAAGGGGTTCTGCTTGCCTATTTACACTTACAAATATATATGAAAAAATAGCTTCATAGACTTTTCAATAATTTTAAACTACTTTTGTAATTGGTTACTGTTCAATAGACAACCAAATTTGCGTAATTGCAAGCCGTAAATTATCTTAATCGCAGTTATAAAAAATGTTTTTAAAAAATTGTATACTTAATGTTAAAAAAATCTACATAAAATTCTGCTGTCATGTGGGAAATGTGGATTAAGAGAAAAAATATCTGTGAAGCTCTAAAAAATTATTTTATAGCGGCATTAAGAAAAGGAATCTGCTTATTGATGGAAATGGTTATGGAGGATTTAGAATATTTCTTGTCACTTCAAACATTGTACGTGGATAAGCATTTTAGAGTAAGAAGGACACTTTCTTTCTCTGTCTTGTTATAAAAGTTGAGCTATACAGTTATAGGCTATAACAGATGAACAGGAAAGGGTGGATGATTATATATATGAATATTATGTTTAATTGCTAAAGGACTATTGAAGAATAGGCTGTGTTAAACAAATAGTTATGATCCAGATCCAGAGGTGTGCGGAGAAGCAATTTAAAGTTTCAATTAGTACAACTTAAAAAACAACTGTTTTTTTGTGCGTTCAAGAGTGTGCAAAAAATTAGATTTCATACAATAAAATTTGGCAGGTTTGTAAAAAACATTGTGAGAAATGTGGAACATTATTTTATTCCATAGTTCCAGAAATGTTAAAATTATAGTATTACACAAATATTGTCAAAGTGTTCACATTTAGCTATTTGGCAATGGAAAAGCTCACACTGCATTTCATTTAGCTTAAAAATTATTGAATTTTAATACGTTTGAATACTTACATTCTTGCATGCTAAAATTATGAAACATAGCAAGGTATAATACACCTTTAACAAGTTTAGGATTTTCATTATCAGAATATATACTATTTATATATTTGCAGAACATTTAAAAAACATTAACATTTTAACAAAGCTACAAAATTTTTTGACACATTAAATAAAATATTTTATTTATTATTTTTTTTAAAAAAAATACTTTGTTTATAGAACAGAAACAAAGATGGCAGTGAAATAGTCCAGATGACTATTGAACTGCAGACCTCAATCAATTGCTTAATTGTGAGTTGAGCAAGTCTATTTAGCAATTGGCGAAGGTCTGAAGTTTAGATAAATTGCACTTTTAATTGCTTTGCCCTGTGGCAGAATTTTTTTTTGTCTTTCTGCGACAAACCTCTCTAGCACTAATATCTCTCTGCAAGATACTTATAATACCGACAAATGTACATGTTACTAATCACTACATGTTACTAATACATTTCTTTTCCCTCCGATGTGTGTGAAAGGAATCTTTTGAAAAATGAAGTGAAAATTTTGTCATATAATATACGTTGTTAAATAATAGTTCTGGAGGGGAAAAAAATTTTATGAAAATTTCAGTAGAAAAGAAAACCACAATTTATCTTACTTCATTATTCTTTATTTTTCATTATTCCTGGCTAAGAATAGAAAAATCATGAACATTTCTTTCCCCTCCGATGCGCAAAAAAGGCAGCTATTCTAATATAAATTTAGAGAAAATTAATAAAAATGTAGCGAATAAAAATTCGAAAATTTCTGTAGAAAAGAAAACCAAATTTGTTTTACTTCAAATTCTTTCTGCAAGAACTCTGTAACCGTGATTCTGCCACGGGGTTGCTTCGTTAAGTAGATTTAAATATATTGCTATGACTACAATAAAAAGTTCTGACAACAACGAGCTAAAATATTTTCACAAAAAATTTGTTACATAAAAACATTTCATAGTTAAAATCTCTTAGAAAATCTTAACCTGTTAAAATACATTTGTAAAACGAAATTCAAAATACCACATTATCATGGGAGTCTTAATTTTGATTTTACCAACTTGCCAATTCCCTCATCCATTATCAGTTCTTCTAATGACCATCTTTGATGAGGTTTACCAATGGAGTGAACTAATATATACCAATTATTTTTATAGTCTTTATCACCTGACATAAATATATCTTTAACTCCAGACAATTTTTTTAATAAATCAGAAAGTTCGTCCATGTGATGTGTGATAACATCTTCGATTTCTTTTGGTATTGAAACTCTTATTGGGTCTCCTTCTTCACAATCATTAGCAGATTCTAACTCATCATCCTTTTCGTTCGATGTTAAGGTATATATATTCCGTGTCACAGCTAATGTGGCGTAGCTTTGCAGAGCAAGAGATTGCAAATTTAACCCTCTAAAGCCATCGCAGCTGGCTGATTGTTCGCAAACACCAATCTCATCTACAACCTCAGCGGCATAAAACTTCATGAAATCCAGTATTAACTTCGTTGGAGAACAGGATGCCTCACACTCGCAGATACCAATCCTTCGAATAGAGCAACATGTTTTTCCAGATAACTCTCTGAACTTATTGAGGATTCTTTTGTGGCAATGGATGCAAAAGCGTTCTTCTGCAGACATTGTCAAAATTAAAGAAGATTTAGTGATCCAGTTCCCAATTATATTCCTCAGTATGAAATAACAGTGACACTCATCAGACCTTATTTGTATAATTCTAGCAAAGCTCTCATTCAGACTTTCATTAGATGCATCAATAAATGAACTTTTAGGTACGATAGGAGATTCTCTAGTTTTTACAACTTTTTCTCTTAAATCACAAAGAATATCTGAAAGAATCCAGGGAAAGCTCAAAACGGATTTGTCAGGGTTTCTATAAGTGACAACGTACCATGCAGATGCCCTCCGATACCTGATTTCCTTCCAGTCCCGTCTGGGTGTGCGGTTGGTGGCACATTCGCTGTCAAAAGATTTTTCAAATTCATATCGATAACGTTTAATGGCATCCTTAATATATGTTTTAGCAACTGAAAGTGCATTGTCACGATCATAACGGTTTTCATTGTAATCATTCATTCGGCCTATGTAACCAGACAGGACTTCTGCTTCATTTCGCAAACCATACTTTTTCAAAATGTTTTTTATCCGTTTAACATATTCTCGTCGATGAATTTCAGCAGATTCTTCATAATTTTCGTATCCAGGATACACCAAGTCTTCATCAAAGGCAATTTCCTGATTGAATATATCCACTTTACTGATGCAAGCCTCTAAAGAGCGTGTAACTCTGTATAGAAGTCCTAAAGCTCTCTTTGATTTATAACTGTTTCTATTGGAGCCTTTTTCCATGAAATCTGGGTACAATTTAGGCTTCTGATTTGGTGTGAGGTATTCTGTTGTGCCAGACTTTGCAAAATCAAGGGCTCTGGGATATTTTTGAGCAATTTCAGAACAAACTTTAGAGAAAATGCCTCTGTTGTGCCAATCAGCCCAAGCAAGATAAGCATTGGCCATCACACCAATATTGTCATTTTGTATATATTTGGATAAAAAGTTAACCATCTCTCTAACCTAAAAAATTTTAGCATTTTAAGTTTTTCATAGATATAAAACAGAAACATTTACTTTTATCTTTTAGAAAAACTTACTAAATAAATAATAAAATTTTTTGGAAAAAAGCATGATTATTTTCTTAAGCCTGACAGTAAGCATTTCTCTTTGAATATACAAGTTACAAATTTTAGCATTCTTGAAAAGTGGGGGGAAGCTTTATGTCCTTAAAATTTGAGTTCGCCGCGGGCTTAAGGTTGTCAACCCAAGTTATGCTAAAAAAACATTGCTAGGAGCATTGAATAGTCTCCAAAAAGTCTCCTTTTCCTGAAAATAGTATCTTTTACAGCCTTTTCAGGCAAAAAAAAGTAGCCATAGTTGCCTCAGGTCGAAAATAGTTGCAAATAGTCGCATTTTAGTCACCTGTGGCAACCCTGATGATTTTTTCCAGCAGTTATTACAGTAGACTTCCAAATAGTTTTCAAAATCCAAATATTTCTAATATGACATTATTAATGCAAGGGAATTTTTAATCATTAATTTAAGTCATTATACTTTTAAAAGCAACACTACACTTGCGACAGTTTCATTGTAAATTCATGTGGTCTAACCAATCATTCTTCAGCAACAATTGCTAGCTAGTTATTAAAATCTTGAAAAGTAAAATAGTATTAGGAAAAGTGCATTTAAGTAATCTCTCTTCAGGGCTGCCATTGGAAGAAAACAAGAATAATAGTAGCTTTAGTTGCATCATATATGAAAAAAAGTCTCCTAAATAGTCTCCAAGATATATAAAATAGGTGCCAACATCATATCCTCCTCTAACATAATTTTAATTATTTGTGCTATAAAAGTATAAAATTCAAATATTATGCAGTTAGATACTCATATTTTATAAAAAAATGTACGTTTATTTGTGGATTTACCAACAATATATAGAATGCTGAAGGAACTGCTGTAGAAAACTTCCAAAATTTTTGAACATTTTAAAAATATCTATTTTTAGTTTTATTCTTTATGAGGCATAAGGCATCAGATATCATATAATAAACAATAGTTGTAATTAAAAAAAAATATTGAAAAAAAAGCTAGAGACTAAAGATTTTAGGCATTATAAAAAATGAAGTAGATATCACCTTTACTTTCATATATGAATTTTTTTAACCTTACTATAAAATAAAAATTTAGTATAAAATAAACAAAATCTGCATTCTAAAAGTACTTGAATAATTTTCAACAATAATATGAAAGGAAAATTATTACATAGGTACAAATAAATTAAAATTAAGAATTTTATGATTGAAAATGAAGTGGGAGAAAACACACAATGTTGTATAAAATGTAAAATTTATTATTTTTTTAACATTTTCTTGGGGTTTTTAGTATAGATATCAATTAAATTTGCTTTCCTTTTATGAACAAGTTTATATCAATTCTAACCGATTCAATTTCATGTTCTCTCTCTGTTACTCATAATTTTTCAGCAGCTTCATGAGTTAAACATGAATTGGCAAGCAGACACAGAAGCTGACGTACTAATAAGAATTCATGTTCTACCGTGTTCTGCTCCTCACACCCCCATTCAAAATGAATGAAATGAAAAACAAGTGCAGTTGCAATACTTGACCTTGAGTCATTCTTTCGCTTTATTTTGCTGTCACTATGCATTTTAAAAGAGGAATAGCAGAAATTAGAGGATTTAAAAAAAAAAAAAAGAAGGATATAATGGGGGGGGAGGAAGAGTGCAGAAATAATAGAAAAAGTAAGGAAAATATGACGTCTGCGGTCCCTCAAAACAAACCGATCCAAAATTTTAATTACTTGTGGACCCTTATTCTGTCACACTACGCATAAAAACAGCGAGTTTTATTTTTATCTGCTACAGAACTTAGGAATTAGGAATTTGAAACTCTAATTTCCTTTCTCGGCTCTAATTTGCAGCTGCTTAGTTTAGACATTTGAAGAAAAGAAATTGAAATATTGCAATTTAATTCATCTATCAAGTTTTTATTTTGTTTACTTTTCCTAACTGAAGCATTTCCAAATTTAAAGCTTATTAAAAAAAATTGCAATCAGAATTCGACAAAACGAATATCACCATTACCTTTTTTCTATTGTAAATAGCTCTAAAAAAATTAACTACCTATTTTGCGTAATCAAAGACAATTCGTTTTTTATTTTGCTACTTCGTTCAAATTAAAAGAGGGGGGGGAAACGTAATCCTCAGAGATATTACATGAGCAGGAGGAGCATTCACGCAGTGTGAATTCCATCAATCTGATTGGTTAAACATGTCTGTCTTGCTTTTGACATCAGTGATGAAGAATAAAGTTTGGATAAAACGAAAACGCGCGGGGGGAAAGAGGGAAACTCAAGTTATTCTTAATTTTAGTCGCTAATTGGCTTAAAAAAGTCGCCAATTTTACGCAACTCATTGCAAATTTAGTTGTTTTTACTCATATTTCTACTATAATAGACGCCCTAGTTGCTATTGCTTGAAAATAGTCGCTTTAGTAGCCTTTTTAGTCGCCAATGGCAGCCCTGTCTCTCTTTGACATACCTGATTGCGGCAATTTTCTGTTTTTTTTTTTTTACAGCAGTTATTGCAACAGATTTCCACATAACTTTTTAAATCAATTATTTAATATGTTATTACAGAATGTGAATTTTCACTTTTTGTTTTAAATTTAAAATACAACGTGTTGAAATAAAAATGCCATATTTTAGCAGATTCACATGATTCTTTCATAGGATTTCCTGTAACTATTAACCTAATAAAATTTTCCTAAACTTACGGTAATAGCTCCGAAGTGTTTCTTTTCTTCATTTGGTGGATAGTTCATTGGCTTACAGTTATCTCGTTGAAATATTAAATCCGGATGCCAAATGATAACGTACTCATCCCCATCCAAATCAGAACCTATAACATTTCAAAAATATATTAGTATTTAAATTTTAAAGAAAATAAAAAACTTTAATATTAAAAAGGAAGTAATTTGAAAATAAAACTAATTTTGCTTTGGTCAAAACTAAAATGGAAGACATAAAACTATTAAAGATGTATTAAAGTCAATTGTCATCTGTTTGCAGTAATAATTTAATTAATGGTCAATATACCTCATCAAAGGTGGAGTAAGCCATATTACCACATCATCCGTTTGCAAGAGAATGAATCTTTATAATGCAAAATTGCAGCCTGCAAGCAGTGTAATGCCACAACAGCATTACGTGTTTGGAAGAAATGGACACAAGACAAAAGCCTCGCAGTGAGGCATGCAACAGCACAACAACACAAGATGAGAAACACCTGCATGTCTGTGACAGACCATACAGCATTCTCTTGTGCAGCACAACATTGGACGTATTTTGTAGTCAAGCTCCACAGTTTGTCGCATTCTGATGCAGTATCAACTGCATACAAGGGTTCCTCTATGCAGGCTTCTTCTCTCTCATAATCATAGATGTCACCGACTTCAAAAGGCTTAGAAATTGTGGCAACAAATTGTTTACTCCAATGAATATTGCTACAATCTGGAGTACAATGATGGAAAAGTACACTTCAGACATTACAGAGGGGAACATCAGCTTTCACCAAGTATTATCCAACGCCATACCACACAAATGCCTAACGTTATGGTGAGAGGAGCAATTTGGTGTAATTGCCGATTCCATAGGGAATTTTTGGCAACTTCAACAGTGATCGCTTCATAAGGGAAATTAAGCAGCCATAGGTTCACTCCATTTTTGATTCGTTATGACTTCTGTATTTCAGCAGGACTCATTCATATTTTATTTTAAAACCTTCGTCAACGAAGGTTTGGAGTCAAAATAAACCCCGAGAAATTTGACTTTCTCCGTGAGTTTCAATTTATGGTCCAGGTAGTATACCTAGATCAAGATGCCTTTTTTGTGTGAAGGCTACATAGCTTATCTTAGATGGATTGACAGATAAATCTGATTTAGAACACCATCTAGCTACTTTTAGAAGTGCATTATTCATGATATCAGAGATTGTTTTACCATGTTTACCTCTGACAACAATGACACCGTCATCAGCGTACCCGATACAGGGTATGCCAAGATCAGTTAACCGAACTAACAAGAAGTCCATAACCATACACCATAGGATAGGGGACAAAACCCCTGCCTGGGGGCACCCTGCGATTGCATGCACTTTCATGCTTGCACCCAATAAAGAGGAACAAATATACCTAGAGGATAGCAAATTAGCTATCCACCTGGTAATTATTGAGTTTATGCCTCTGTTCCTAAGTGCATTGATGATAGGCTCAAGAGGGACTTCATCAAATGCACCTTCAATATCAATGAACTTATTTGTGATTGATTTCTTGATAAACAGGGGTCACTCGGCTGGCTGGATTACAACTGCCGTTCTCATGAACAAGCGTCCAACACCCTACGAAGCAGTCTATTCTGGCCCCATACTCATGCATATTGTTCCAAGACAGCAGAAGTCTTCTTCATTGTACATCAGATTTTGCTTCTTCCCTTCTTTGACTTGTTTATTCTTCTAATATGTCGCCCATTGACCATCTAAGGATTGCATTGCCTAGAGACTCAATCGTAGAGCAGGTGGGGCGCACGGTAAGAATGAAGCTTGACATCAAGTCAAATCCATATGAAATGCAATTTCTCAGGATTACATTCAAAACCTGTATGATTCAATTAACTTACGTGTAACGGGCTTTTATCACTTAGCGTGGTGGACACATAAAACATTGATTTCAGACTTTCTTTTGTTTTGTAAATTTGATCGCTTATTTGTACCGTTATCAATAATATCTTGAATAAATTTCATCAATTTCTTCACATTGTTGTCAAACATTAGTGCATTTTGTGTCTTTATTCCAATTCATTTATGTTAAAAGAGGTCAAAATCACAGTTAGCAATAAAAAGGCAATAAATTTTGCTATTATAATTAAAGAAACAATTATAACTAGCATTGAATCTGACATAGAGCTGCGATTGAAATTTGAGAACTCTAACTGTTCAAGAAGTTCTCTTAACTTTTATTGATGGCAAATTATACAAGTCAATATAAATTCTTTCTGTTGCAGTTAGGATACAATTTAAAGATATATTGTTATCAAGTAAAGAGCTTAGCAACATTTAAACGCTCTTACTGGTTGGACAGTGGTTGAAATCTTGATTGATAATAAATTATATTAGGCTATAATATAAGGATTAATTTTCTTTCTAGTTGTAATGAATAATATTCCCTCAAAGCTGTGTGTATGCCTAGCCATGCTCAATATTGTGAAAAACTGGGCACTAACTTTTGAAATCCACAAATACATTTTTTCATTAATATTAAAAAGGCAATGCTATAAATAATTTATAATTTTTTTTAAAAAAATGAGAAAACAAGTTTTTAAGATACTTTTAAAATGTGTGCTTGCTTACTATATTTGTTGCATTTTTATATGTTTTCCAATTTGATTTCTAAGAAAAATGTAGCTCATTGTAGACGATGTAAAAATTGAATATTCAGGCCTGTTAGGATTATTCTCGACTGTTAAAACTATTATAAGTATCTTTTTTTGGGTAGAGGGGGAATATTAATATAAATTTTATGTGATTTTTAATTTAGAAAATATTTTATTATATAAATACCAGCTTGTCCTTTTTGTAAAAAAAAATTCATTTTGAAATGTTTATTTTCTAATAAATTTCAGTTAAAACTATAGAAAAAAGCTTTTAAGTTGTTTATCAAATTAATCATTTTTTGCTTGTTTGCTTTTTTTGAAAAAGAAATATGCACAGAGGTTGCCTTTTAGCATGCCTTCAATTACTTTTATAAGCTGCAAATCTTTCTCTTACTTCCATAATGAGAGAGAATGCATTTTAAATATACTCATAAAACAGTACGAGAGGATAATTTAAAAATTTTTGAGCATGAAATTCAGTTATTACATAATATTACACATTTTGAGAAATATTTTTGAAGTAAATGCCCTTTCAAAACTCAAAGTGACCTTTTCAGAGAGGCTCCTTTTTATTTTTGCGGAGAATTCAGAGAAAGCGTAAAATTCATTCTTACAGCAAATTACAATAGATTTTTTTTGTATTATGTTTATTGTAATTAAAGTTAGATTTAAGCCAAACGTGGTTGGTGGCATTTCAACTTCATTATTTATTTCTGGGAAAACTAAAGAAAAGGTGAGACAAATATTATTTTTAAATTATAACTTTAAGACAAAATCGAGTAGTCTTTATTAATAATATTTTCTACTATAAATTGCCTGAAATGCCTTTTCTATTATAAATTGCCTTTCATTTTGACTAAAAAGTTCCACTTACAAATATCAGTCTGTAAACTTAGTAATAAATATTAAATATGTAACGTGTATATTGAAAACAATGTCCTAGTCTAATAATCATTCATCTCGAGTTGCATTTAATAACATGAAGAATGATGAAAAAGAGAATAATAATTGTCAGTTACAAACCAGCCATCTCATCAGGATGTGGTCGAGGTCCGTGAGCAGGAAAGACAATGCAATCTTTTATGTGATGCAATTCTGGCACATCAACAGCTTCTAGCTTTCTAACATCTCCAGGATGCATACAAGGATTTTTAGTGACCACAATAGTTTCTAAGAAAGCCAAAGAGGCAATTTTATTAAATGAACATTAAAGAACACATATTTATCTGTCTTGTTCTTTTTGAAGGGAAATTAATGTTAACAAAAATGAAAATAGAAATTTTATGCAAAATAAAACAGTTATTTAAATTATATTTTTAATAATAACTACAGAGTATTATTTTGAATTAACAGAGTGAGAAAAAGACAATTGAAATGAAAAAAGTCTGGACAGAGCAAAATTTTCAGCTATTAGTGATACTTATAAATTAAACTTTTTTTTAATATTCAAACTTACTTTATGGGTAAATTTATAGGGCATCTTTGTGCTATTTTGGTATTACTGAAAATAAAGTACTACAGCATAAAACATCAAGCCATTCCTTATTTTCAGAGAAGCATAAAAAAAAATGATAAGCTTGAAAACAGATATATCTTAAAAACATGTCATAATTCTTCATTAGAAAACAAATATGCTTTTAAAAAAACTAGAATTTAGAGTCTCATAATTATCTATAGTAATAAAATAAAGAGTTTGTATGCGTATGGGTCTCTCTTTTATGACGAGAGAACTGTTAGTGAAATTCGGACATCAGCTGCTAGGGGAAGCTTTAGCCGACAATCCTTGAATTTGTTCACAATTTTAAATTGATTATTTTGTTAGAGCCGCTTAAAAAATAGAATTGTTTTATTAGTTAAGCATCGGCCATTGTTTTAAATTAAAGTAAAAGTTTTATTTTAACAAACATAACAAGAAGTTTTATTTTAACAAACATAAGAGCAGTGATGTTTGCTAGTTTATGGCTGTATTTGTTTAAAAAAAGGAGTAAATTGCAGGTTCTTCTGAATATTTAATTATTTTTCATATGTTATGTCAGATAAACTTAATTAAAAAATTTAACTGGGTAGCATAGGCGATCAACGCCATTAAATTAGAATTTCTAAAGTTAAATGAAACCATGTGCTTATTTTTTTAATACTTATGCTTTTAAAAAATGTTTCAAAAATAATTTAAGCTGCACAATAGTTGAAAGAATAAAATATAAGTTAAGTACTAAAAAGAAAAATTTAAAAATATAATAATAATAAATAACATAATAAAAAGCAAAATTAAAGAAATGTTACAAATCCCTTTTGGAGAAAATGAAAAAATTATCATATTTTTGATACCAATGAAGCTTAATTAATTTTGGAAATAAGTACTAATTGAAATGAAAAAGAGCTATATACTAAAAAGCAAAATTAAAGGAAAAAACCGTAGTAATTTGGTTAGGAGAAACAAGTGCATAATTAAATTTGGTAATTGTTTTTAATAGAAATAAAAAGAACAAAATAAATGAAGAAATGGTACTAATTAAGTTATATAGAATGCATTACTTTAGTCAAATTGTAATATAGAAAAATAAGAAATATAGGCAGAATATTTAGCAGGCAGAAAATATTTCTTCTTCCAAAATGAGCAAAGTCAATTATTATTAAACAGAAGTATGCTTTTTTGTTCAAAATTTAGTTGATAGTTATGAAAACAAATTAAGTTTAAAATCATATGAAAGAAAATCACAGTAAACAAAAGTGAGAATTAGAAGATAAAAAAAAAACAATAATAAAGCAGTAATATGATACATTTTTTATGTTAATTGACACATAGAATTTCTTTGATTTAGATAGCAACTTATTCAAGGTATATATTATAGGCTTTATAGGTCAATCAAACTATCTAGAAAATCAATAAAATTGATCATGTTTTTCGTTTCAAAATTAAATTTAAATTTAATCATCTATTATTGATGTCACAAAAAATACAAACCATCAGCCAGAAAATATTTATTCTGTTGAAATGAGTAAAACTGAAGAATAATAAAGCATTGAACATTTAAGGAAAATAAGGGTTGATGAAATGCGATCGCCTAGTCTCCTCTAGCAAGGAGACTAGGTTGAGAATTGACATTTGAATTGAAAGAATTTTGTTTTAATTAAAACATATTATAAAATATAAGGCAACCTGAAAGCTATGTACAAAAGCTCTATAAAAGTTTTGATTAAATTCGAACGGTTTTAAAAAAGTTTGTTTTAGTTCACTGCCACTAGGTAAAATATTTCAAATAAACTTCAGATGCTGGAAGGTATGGAGTAGTAACAGTTTTGATTTAAAAACATCATGATTTTAAAGCAATGACCACAAAAAAATAGGTTTAAAAGACAATGTGATTTTGTAACAAAATTAGCCAAATCTTAAGTGTGCAACAAAGAGTTCTTATTCAAATGTGCAATTTGAATTAATTTCTGCTGCAGTAAGTAGGATGACAAAAGTTATCAGGATTTTTTAAAAAAAACTATGCAATACTCTGCAATTTTTAATTTCTGAAAAAGCATATGGATTTCAGATGAAATCAAAGCAAAATTGAGCCTGTCAAAAGATTATCACGTAAATGCACGATTTGAAATTACTGTGAAATGCTCATACTCATTTAACAAAAAAATAAGAATTTTTTTTTTTATTCATAGCAATGGTATAATTATCATGCAAAGTCCGTGATTTAGAAATTTCCCATGAAAATTCTTTGGGTCCTGTGGTCTTGAAAATTTTGGCAAAGTTGCATTCCAATTTAAAATTTTTGAAAAAAAAAAAAAAAAACCCCTGCTATAAAAGAATTTATTATGTGAAATCACGAATTCTCGGATAATATACATACATAACTATAAAAAAAATAACACTTTGAAATTACTCAGATTATTATTTTCATATACTTACAATAAAAAAAAAATTCATAATATTTTATTATGTTGTAGTAAGTAATTCATTCATTTGTAATAAGCATTCCATTTGATTTTCATGCATGGATATATTCAATAAAATTTCAAATTTGGCAGAAAAAATGAAAAGAAAAACTAGAGCTGTGGGGGGTGTTAATATTTTTACTGGCTTTTTTAGATTTTTGCAGCCTTCTTTACTTTTTTAGATTTTTGGAGCCCTGAAAAGAAGCATTTCTCTTTTAATAAGTAGTTGATACAAACACATCAGCTTGACATATGTAACATAATTGCTGTACAAAAATGGAAATTTAAAATTTTACAAAAGTAGTTAAATCAATATTTTTTAAATTAATAACCATAACTTTTTATTTAGATTGCAACACTTTGAAAAGCAGAAGCTATGAATGAAAAATCTACCAAAAAAAGTAATGTTTGTCTTTTTAAAATCAATCATAAGCACCAAAACAACATAATAAAATAAAAAATGCCTTTATTACTAGCTTCAAATTGATCTATGCAAAGTAAATCAATCAATGTGATTTCAATTACATTTTTAGTCCCTTTCTTGCTAACTGCATATTTCACAACTAAATTTTATATGATTTCTAAGTGCTACAGCATCCATGGTAGCTATAAGAAAAAAAAGCACTTACTTAACTTATTAAATATATATAAACTTTCTAGCACATTAAAGGACACAATAGGTTTTGTAATTAATAATGTAAAAAATAATTTAAGTTAAAATTATTTTTTTAAAAGATGACTAATTTAATTCCTTAATTTCTGTTTATATTTCTTAGAAAAAATTACAATCAATTAGACAGATCTACAGCTTAAAATTTCTGACATTAATTTTTATTAATTGGTAAAAGATTTTTTGTATTACATTGAAGTGATAATGAGATTTTAGGATGAAAGATTTAGTTCCATATAAAATATTTGTAATGGTAATTTAGAGAATTAAGTGCTATTTACCAGTCAGCACATGAGTAGGTGAGTTCTGATTGCCAATTTCCTCAGAATATTGTACAAATACTTCACCATAATTCAGAGTACCAGTTTCATCAATAACTCCCAACATATTTCTTCCAAACTTGGGTGGAATAAAAATTCTAGCTTTCGAACGCAGTTGATCTAAAAAAAAGTACATAAGTAATAAAAATAATTATTTTTACAGAAAAAGAAAGCTTAATCCTTATTCTGTTTTCATCATCATCTATTATTATTATTCTATATTAGTTCCAAATTCGTCAGTATTTTTTCCTGTTGCTTAAAAGTTTAAAAAGCATTTCTATTTCATTACTTAATTATTAAATTAAGTTAACTAAATTTTATCTAGTTATTATTTTCGGTTGATTAAGTTTTTATTACATTATCGCAATAAATAAGTTAACTTAATATTAATTAACTAAGTTTCGTTAATTAATTTAAAAATTATTATTTACTTAAATTTTAATCTGTTAAATTCATTATTAATGAAGATTGTTTATTCGAAAAAATTTATATCAGAAGGCTACTTAAAGTTGATAATTAAGAATGTTAAAGGCCTGCCAGTGACTAAGACAATGGCGTTTAAACCAGCGATAAAATCAGAGAAATAAAATTATCTTTGCTATTTCCGAAAGAAAATTAAGCCAATTTTAAATTGGTCCTCATGATCAGTAAAATTTCACGAGATTTTTCAGTTCGATTTCAGAGGAGGGAAAATGAAGTCTGAAATTGTGAATCTCTTGCAAACAGGCAGCAGAGTTGCACTGTGAACTACACTGTATAGTAAAAAATACATAGCAGAAAAATTATCTTTAATATCACAATTTTTACATTGGATTAATAATGCACGCCTTGGTTATACATACATTTCATTTTTGATAATAAAAACAATTAAAGATTTAATAATAATAATAAGATTTAATAAAACTAATTTACATGCATATAAAGAAATGTTTTAGAAATAAAAAACAATTTGTAAACTGAAACAAAGTATAAAATTATTTAAAAAAAATACATTGCTACTTTTTTAAATTAAAAACTAAACATGGATTGACTAGAGGCCGAATTCTAAAAAATTAAATTTCGGTATTTTTTAATTACTGTTTACAAAGGACTTCATAAGAAAAAGTATTTTTTTTTAAAATAAAGATTGGGGGAAACAAATTTAATATAATGAAGTAGTTAGTTATTGAAATGCAAATTACAACAGTTAAATAGTTCGGTTTCAAAAGGAATGCTAAAATCACAACCAAATCAACAAAACAAAAAAAACTCTTATTAATATGTCAATATTTTTCCTTAATAGAATGCCTTTAGAACAAACCTAAATGTTTAGCGATCGCAAAAATATTAAAGTCTAAACAAAAATAATTTATAAGAAACAATGTGAATTTGTATTTTAAAAAAACCAAAAGGTGCAAAAATAAAAAGGTTAAATCCCATTCCACATTCTGAAGCTGGCTCCAAACAAAACCTCAATTTCTAATTTAATTCGTTCAAGGCCACTCAATATCACAAAACTGATATCTTCCAGTGTTCAGAGCTAGAGAAAACTAATAACTTATAACACCAGCAGCCTAGATCAAAGTTCTAATGTTTCAGACAGAAAAAAGAAAACACTACACGCCTGTGTGCCGAAGTATGCACCAAACCACTATTTTGCAATATATGTCACAACGCCCTACAGTTAAATGTTTTACATTGCATAAAGTTTAAATAAAATTAACTTTGAGTCTGAACGCAATACTCACCAATAGCAACTGTATATACAGAAAGTAAAAGGCGGCGAAAAAAAGGTTCCTTCGTAAGACAGATGCCAGACTTTAACAGCTTCTTATAAGGAAAATCCAGGCCTGTTCTGTTAGCTAGTAATATATGACTTTTTCTCTCGTAAATGAGAGAATCGGTCAAGTCCATGACCATTTCTTTTTGAAGCTTTAGAAAAACATTAGCTGAAATTCCAAGCTGCTCCAGAAGTGAAATTAAAGGCCGGTTCAGGAAAAGAGCTCCTAATAATGAGAGGAAAAGATTTTAGAAACAATTTTATTGACACTTTTCGAACATATTTTCAAAGTAAATATTTCTTAAAATATGCAATTTTATTATTGTGGCAGGAGCTGTTATAGTTACTTAAATATAGTTTAAATACTATACATTGTTAAAATGATTTTTAAAATACAGTAGAGCGCCGATTATTCGAACTGCTCGGGACTGAATATGGTTCGGATAATGAAAAGTTCGGATAATTGGAAAGTTGTTTAAAATCTAGTTTAAATGATTATTATTTATGCACTAACTTCCTTTCACACTTTTTCCAGGTTTAGGACTGGCAGTACTATCTAAAATAGCTCTGTTTAAAAATTGCTTTTTTTTTTAATTTTTAAATATTTTGTATTTATTTTTTTTAACTTTTTTTTTTCATTTTGAATTTTTTTTAATCATATTTCAGCTTTTATAATTTTTTTTTTGTCAATTACTGATTTTACCACATTTTTCTTTATTTTCCATTGCAAAAGAAATCCAGCAAAGACTTTTGTTTCAAAGAAGATGCTTTTTTTTTTTGAGCAGCCGTATCCCTTATTCTTCTTAAATAAATCAACTGAACTGGATCAACATCATTTTGACGTTCTAGCCAATTCATTGCAATATCTAATGAATTCCATGGTTCTATATGAGAAGGTCCACTATCTTGAACTTGATCACCTACTTCTTCGTCTGTGGAGTTTCAATTTTCTTTCAAAACTCCAGCAACAATTTCATCTTCATTTAAAATTTGAAATCCTCAGACGCTGTCAGTGTCTCGACACCTGTCTTCTATTTATTCTGCTGCATAACCTGGCATCTTTTCTGCCAGAAGATCTACTGGTTCAAAAATTTAGAAAAATTGTTGATAAAGTGAAAAATATTCTAAACTTTAAAAAAAAAAAAAAAAAAAAATTCAGACATAGTTTGGATAATAAGAGTTCGGATAATCGGCGCTCTACTGTATATATAAATTTGTAAATGCTTAAAATATAAAGTTATTTTTTCTCGCAAAAAAATATTAATATTTTATGTTATTTAGAATATTAATAACATTAGAATAAACAAAATATTACATATTCATTTAGAAAAGCTTTTTTTTCTTTGATGCTTCTGTTACTTTAAATTAGTAACATGTATATTTGTTATTTTTAAAAGTATCATGCAGAATCAAAGCGGTATGTTGCAGAAAGACCGAAAAAATTCTGCCACAGGGTAAAGAAGCACTGAGGGACTTCGAGCTTCTGTGCTGCTTAGCATTAACTTTAGACTCTAGAATACCTCAAACACAATAGTCTAAATTATTGAGATCTGGTGAAGAAGGGGGCAATCTTTTTGCTTAATACATTTCGGACAATTGACATGAAACCAAGCCTGTGTTGCTTTGGGTTGGTGTGAAAATGCAGAATCTAGCTGAAATATCCATTCCTTTTTAGGATACAATCTGTCAGCATGTAGCAATAAATGTGTAGCAATACTTCCTTTTTGTAATATTTAGCATGGAGTTTTACCTCTTCATTGATGAATTTCAGAGGAAATTTTCTATTATTTGACACTGCAGCCCAAACCATTACAGAATTCTTGTTCTGAAAGCCTTGTACAGTTCTTACACTTTCAGGTATATCCTCTAAGGTTGCTGAATATACAACATTATTTTTATCATTATAACTGTTTTGTGTAAAATATTTTTTATCAGAAACAATTATTCTGTCAACATTTCTGTTACCGTGCCGGTTCAGAAATTTCTTACATCTTTGTAACCTTTTTAATTTTTTTGCAGTTATCAAGCCTTGAACTTTTTTGTGATAAGGGCGAAAACCCAGATCTTCATTCAATATAACTGACATAGTTCTTCAACTCACCTTCTCCTCAGCAGCTACTTTATTAGCAGAGCACCCTGGATTTCTTCGTATCTTTTCATGAATTCTTTTAATGTCCTTTTTTGTACAAACTGAACCTGAATGATCAGACCTGGGTCCTTGAGAGCTATTAGTATCCAAAAATCAATTTATAGTTCTATATATATATTTTCTATTAAACCTAAGAGATTTTAATTGCTTAAAGATTATAGTAGGATTCAGATTCCACTACCACGCATCTGAATGACCCCTGATCTGTGGGTCAGAGGGTGAGGGACACGGGAAATGTAGTCCTCCTATCATAAGGGAGGAAAGAGTGAGAAGTGAAGGATACTTTTGTGAGGAAGGATTTTCAGTATGGACTTGATGCGGATAGAGTATAGGCGAAGAAGAGAGCAATTGGGCTCCAGATATTGATTTGTTTCTATTTGGTTCAGCATATGTATATTTGTAATTAATTTTAAGCATTAAATAACAAAACATTTTAGATTGTTTTTGTTTTTACAAGCCTCTGTTTTTAATTCGTGTGTAGATCTAATCAGGGGTCATTTGCAGTATCATGAAAGGTTAGTGTGGTCAAGTCATGAAATTTTCTATTTCATTGCTACTTAAGTAAATAAAAGCAAGTTAAGTCCATATGGAACTTAGTTCAGAACAATCATATTATATAATTTAGCTAATTTGTGGGAATTTTTTAAAAATAATATTTTATTTTATTTCATATTTTTAAAAGGTTTGTTTTGTTCAGACTTTATTCTGGACATCCATAAAATTTCTTAATCACTGCTTATGAAAAATTAAGTAGAGTCAAAATAAAAATAATTTAAACCTGTAAAATAAATTCTTAAATGTATTTATAAAAATGTTTTTTTAATTATCTTTAGCCATATCATTAATAATTTATATTTAAAAATTGAACTATAATTCAAGTAGGTATGTGTAAGTATGTTTCAAATATAAATGATCACATTAAAAATTTATTTAGTAGGAAAATTATCAATTAAATGGAAATGAGTCTTGGTTAACAATGTTTAATTGAAAATGTCAGTGTTGCTATTTTTTCTTCTTTTTCAATTACATCACTGCATGATCAAACCAAATCTGACTATCAACTATTTTAAAACTCATTTTTTTATAATCCTATTTATAAAAATACAAACTTAGACTCCCAAGTGGTCCTAATCAGCACACAAATAGTAGCTGAAGAGTTGTTTTACATAAGAATGTGGTAGCTCAGGCTGGATATTGAAAATATTACCATATTTGGTATACATTTTTTAAATCAGGTACAACTTTAATATATGAATATCAGAGCAAAGGCTTATTTAAAACAAGATATAAAATGCTTACTTGGAGCACTTATCTTCACAATTTCCAGCATATTCGAACTTTCACAAAAGAACTTTTCCATACTTGGACGCGTTGCAAGTTTACGTCCATCCAAATCTGGATTTTCAGTAACCATTCCTTTGCATCCTTTGAATCGTATTTGATAAGCAGATGGGTTGTAAGTAGGAATTTCCAAAATATTTAGTGCCACTTTATCACGGAATGCTTTCCGAATCTTAAAAAAATGAGCAAGAAAGAGACATTAGTCTAAAATGATTTTAAATATGTTAAAACAGTAGAAAAATATATTACACAGGTATTTATAAGTAAATTAAATCTTATATAGGTGTTTAGATTAAGGTAAAATGTAATACAGATGTGCATTAAAATTAATTCACAATGCTAGGGATTCAATTTTTAGTCTAGTATCAACTTTTAAAATTCCTTAATTTATAAACAGAATATATGCACAATTACCACACAATAAAATAGATTGAAATAGAATAATGTTAAACAGGATTTCAAAATCTTTATTGTGAGCAATTAACTAAAAATTGCTTTAAGGATCACTTACTATTATAGGTAAAAATGTAAAAATTTTTTTAACATTAATAAGAAGGGGATATTTACATCTATATAGTGCCAAAGTTTACATACCCTAATACTGAAAATTAACTAAAACCTGTAAACTAAAAGAATTTACATGTATATTTTTATAAGTTAGAACGATGAAAGTTTTAACATGGAACACAAGACCAAAATAAAGGTAACCAAAATCGAAAGAAAAGCTTACCTCTTCAGCCAGTTTAGTTGAAATCATACCAACTCCATCAGAAAAAACATATTTCTCATTTTTTATCTCTTCAACATGTATTACTTCCTTAACATCTAACTCTATTTGTACAGCTTCGTCAGAAGTAGAAAAACATTGACCTAAGCGAGCCATATATTTTGCAACACTTTTTATGTGAGAAAAATCTCCCATCCATTTTCTGATACTCTCGGTAGTGTTTCCATTGCAATCATTGGCAAATATATACAAACCATGTTCTCTAAGTTGACTATTCGATGCTGCTAGAACATTATAGTGTCTAGGCCCAATTCTAACACCTTCAATCAGCCGTCCTGTGAATCGTTCCATGAATTTGTCTTTTTGAGTATGATACTGAACAGCAAAAGTTAGTTTTGAAAAATCATCATCTTGAACAGAAACACGCAATATATTTTCTGAACCAAATTCTCGGATAACACGATTATCAAAATGTTCCATTGGCTGAAGGCATATTATACGCGAGGGCATCATAATAAGACGGCGCACAAGGCACATTCCATCAGGTAAATCTATTTTTGCCGGATTTCGTCGATAATGTTCATAAAGCTTTTTAAAAGCCTCTTCAAACACAAAAATATCTTGCCTGGTAATAATGTCACTAATGTGATACAAGGTATTGACAAGAGCATCTTTGTGCTTAACAGTCTTTTGTATTTCCTTCTTTATAGATTCCCAGTGATCTTTTACAGATCTTTCATGAGTTATATATTTAAGTATTACTTGATCTCTAACTTCCAAAGATCTTCCCAACATAACCTCCCAAGCATACTGACAATTAAATTTAATATCAGAGGCGACATTTTTATCAGACACATCTTGAAAAAACTGTTGATCAAAAGGGAAGATATCAAATTTGTATGGTAATTTAGCTCTAGGCACATGAACTCTTTGAACACATGAAAAGTAAAAAGAAGTGTTAGAACTACAACGTTGGATAAGCCGTTCAACTATACCAAAAGCTCTGGTTTTAGGAATGGCTACTTTAAAAACTGGACACCTTCCAACCTTATCGATTTCACAGAGGGAATTATTGCAAGAACAACCAAAAGTCAATGATCGTTCCCACTTTCTCTCCTGGTATTCTTGATCACTTGCTAAGAACTGTTGCCGGTTGCCACTTTTAATTTCATCAACTTCCTTGTCATCTTTGTCGTCCTTTTTCTCCTTATAAATTAGGGGAATATGTTTCATAACAAAATACAATTGTAGGGACTCACTGTCTGGGTCATCATTTATAATTACACGCATCAAAGCATGATACACAATTCGGAACTTATATGTTAAAAACTTATTTTGACACCTTTCTTTATGGCATAGGCACAAATAGATAATGAAGTATCGCTGATTATGAAAAAATGAGCCCATCAACTCTTTTTCAATGTTTTTAGCTTCATAGTGATAATGTTGCATAAATGTTTGTGTATTGGGAGTTGTTCCAAAAGCTATTTCTTTAACATCTACATCACTGTGGAACTGCTTTCCCTTATTTTTAAGCACAGAACGATCTGCCAATCGCAACCATAAGTTGAACAGCGCATTCTTTTCGCTGTCACACCAGTTTTTTACAATGCTTTTGAACTGATCTCCACAATGGAAGCCAGGTTTCTTCTTATACTCTAATAGGACTTCCAGCTCCATTAAACCTGCTTTATATATAAGATCAACATCAATGTTTTTTGATTGGCGGCCTACGTCAACAGTGCATGCCAAATTTTTTTCTGAATTATATCTTTCAAAAAATTTTTTAGCCTCAGATCTCACAAAAGTTAAATCAACATCTACTTTGCGAAAAACTATCAATAATTTTAAATGTGCCATTTCAAAAATCCTGAGAACTCTGTCCAATTTTAATTCTATTTATCATTACAACAGTCCTAAAAAAAACAAAAACATTTAAGTAATAATTGAAATAAGATTTAAAAAAAACTAGTTAACTCTCAAAATGCAATAATTTAACAGTATATCATTATCCTTTTCAGTACTTTTGAACTACTCTACAACATTCAACAACTTCTTTTATTTGGATCATTCATATTGTGGAGAAAAAAATTTGGAAAAAAAAAATATGATACGATCAGACATGAAAAAACTAAGAAAATGAAAATTTTCATGTTTTACAAAAAAATACATGGGTAACAAAACGATATTATTAAACATTAGATAGATGCAATATAACATTGCATTGCTTGAAAACATTCAATTTCTGAATCCTATCTACAAATACTGGAGTCTATGTTATATAAGATAAAATAATGTTCGATCAAACATTAAAACTTTAATGTATACTTTTAGTCTGGCACCTCATATCATTAATATATAAGGATTTATTTATGAAAGAAAACAAAGTAAAATATTCCACAAAATATTTTTTTTTTACCAATGTAATTTCATGTATCTAATTTTACAACTAATTAGTATCTCTAATTAGTTAAAAAGAACAATTTAAACATTTCAACATTTAAAATATCAGTACCCTATTCTCATATGGCAAAGATAGCATAATGATTCTGATTTTTTCCTCAAAATTTTTTTTAATTCTAACATGATATATAACTCTTAATAATAAAATGAAGGTTGTGCATACCTTGTGCTGTAAATACTAAATAATAAGGAAATACTAAAATATACTAAATAATAAAGAAAATACTAAATAATAAGAAATAAATAATTGGCTTGGATTTTTAAATAAATTAATTCCAATTATATTTTAGGTTTAATAATTTCAAATTCAGTGTTTTCAATATAAAATTTTTACTTTTTTTACTAATTTTTGCTTCTGCGTTAACAGTAACATTTCGAGGATTTATGTTAGTAACTTTACTTTTTATTTCATGTATGAGTGTGGCATTACTGAGCAGAATTGTTGTGATTAGTGTCCTCGAGAGTGATTTGTCTTTGCTCTGTACGTTAACGTGGGGCAGTTGCCACGGGCCAACCATCAGAGGGGGCTCCTAAATCGAATGGAAAGTTTATTTTTGGTTTCCTTCTTTAATGAACTTTTTTTTAAAAACAAAATATCAGTACAGTGTATGAACACAAAAATCTATATTTCGTAAATCCACGACTTTCTAGTGCGGAATTAAGCTAAATGTTCACAATTACGATGGAGAAATTTGGCCAATCAAAAGTTCATATTTTTACATAAGCAAAATGCAATATGTTTACAAAAATACAATTTTCTGATTGACTTAAGTGAGCCATCATAATTGCAAAAATTTAGCTGAATTCCCCCCTAATATCAGCAATGTGACCTAATGTCAGTAATGTCATAAGAAAATTTTGCAGCTAGATGACAAAATTAACAATCAGAAATCTGGATTCGGCAAAATGGACATTGTCAGAAAATCAGAAAAATGAACAGAACAATATTTCGTCTGACCATTGGAGGGCGGTACTTTATAGCTATTTTAGGTTCTAGTCAATTCTTCTAGACAATTTCTTGTTATATATGTATAATGTTTGTGCAAATTTAATTTCTAGAAAAAACATAATAATTATTAATTTTTTTTGGTTTTGAAATTTAAATTTTATGCACATTTTTTGTCAGAGATTGTTAGTTTAGTGCCTAGTAGCTGTAAATAATCATAGAATTAATAAAAACTTCAGATTTGCATACTGAAAATTAATTTTACAAAATAAATTGATATAAATTTAAAAAATATTTAATGCTTTCCTGGTTTCACACCCTAAAAAACCTGTATGTTTTTTGGTTTTTGTTTCAGATTCTTTGTTAGATAAAATTTCGGATACTGAAAAATTGCATATGTTCAGTAAAAAAGTGGAGAAATATCACAGAAATAAGTTTATAATTTCGTTATATTTAAATTATTACAAAAATTACAATTTAAAAATCTAAAGAATAATTTTATTTTAACTTTAAATAAAGCTAATTTTATTTGATGGAAATAAATAATGATCTGTATTTAAAAATTGAGTAAGAAAATTTTTTTTTTTTGAAGTTAAAATTTCCATTCTATTCAAATGAAAATATAACTTTACAGCTACCATGTTGTTATTTTTATTATACAACTTCATAACATGATGTGAATAATGTATGATAATTTTGAAGTTATAAATGACTAGAGTAATTACTAAACTAATTAGAGTAATTAATGAAATGTCTAATAAACTAACATATTCAATTGAAATTTTTGATAAAATTGGCTCATTTAAAAAAAAACTAAATAAAAAATAGGAATACATTCAGTTCAACACTTGAAAATAATAAATAACTAGAAATTTATAAGAAAACTCTTCGTACAGAGAGAAAATATTGATAAAAGTTTAGCCACTCCACTCGTGTATTATTTTATAGTTACATTAGAACTTTTTATTCAGAAAAATCAGCTGACAGAAAACAGAATTTTAGTACAAGAAAGAAAAAATTAGATCGTAGCAGAACTTGATTTTTTTATTTAGTATTTCTGTATTGCTCAGTAAATAATGCATGTAATCACCTGAATCTATTGTTCTCTGTTTTATTGCTTCATAACAGTACAGAAAATTAAATAAAATTATGAGGCTGTATTATGCAACCATCATCCAAATCTTCCTCTTGCTTATTCCAAAAATGAAATGTGATACAAGATAATGACAGAAATTATAACATTTATCATTATTTAACATCAAAACCAATGCAAAATAAGACTATTGCAAATGCGAGATATTATGCTGTATAGAATGTAACGTAAGATAATATGTAGAAAACAGTGACTATCTGTATCATTCTAATATTCAAAAGTTGTGCAAAATAATGTTACATTTTCTATTATTTGTGATGTTAATCTAATGTTTTACTTGGGTATTTATTATTCTATTTAGATTTTGCTTTCCTTTTCACTATTTCAAAATATCTTTAAATTTTTACTTACAACTGGCATAACAGACACACCAAAATAACAGAGTCCTGTAAGCATAAATTTAAAAACATGGCAACTAATCTTATTCATTGTTTTTTTATACCTTATTAAATTATTCAAATTCATTATTTTTATTATAAAAATAGACATGAACAAATCATATTGCCTATTTTAATCATTTGATTTAAATCATTGAATTCATCGGGTAATTATGAGTCATTTTATAAAGATAAATCACTTGTCCTAAACAAAACAGTAACAGTTTTGCCATAATGAGAGAGAAGGGCAAATATAACTAAGTTAATACCATTGTTACACTTGTCAAAAAGATTTTACAAGCTTAAATCACTAAAAACCTATAATGAACATCTCAAATAGTACAAAATAAATTATTGAATTAAACTGGTTGCTCAGAGAAAACTGGATATAAATCAGTTGGAACAGAGATTTCCTTATTTTCCCTTTTTCTGAAAAACAGGAACTTAAAATCTTTTCTAAACAAAATATTTCATCAATCAGATAAAAAGTTTCAGCTTGGATTTAATCAGGGCTGGCAAGTTTTTGACATATGACGGTTTTTACCGGTTTATACCGTCATGTCAAAAACGTCAGAAACTGTCAAAAACCCATAGTTTTGATAAAACTGTATTTTAATTTGAGCTTAACTGCTTATGATTTAAAATTAATTCATTTTTGGGCAATAAAATTAGAAAAAAAGTTTTTAAAAGATATTTAAGAACAGATTTTTGCATTTTCCCAACATGATTACATCAAATCATACTATTTGAAGTAAAATATTAGGATACTAAACAAAATTTTCAACATTTCCAAGCATTATTTTGTTTGGCATATTACATTACTGAAGAATGTCAAGTCATTCCTGACTTAGAGTTTGTTAGTAGTTACAAGTTTTGAAAGTTTTGTTTAGCTTAGAATATTTAAGAATTATTAGAATATTTAAGAAATGCCAAATTTTAAATTCTTCTTTTTAATTCTTGAATTTATTAATAGCTGCAAGTTTTTTTGTTTGCTTATTTCTAACAATTAAGAAGTGCAAAATTTAGAATCTTTTGCAAATCAAGCTATAATGATAAAAGTTAAGTATCACTATTTTCAATAAGTATGTTACAATATTTCTGTATGAATGTATATCCTTCTATAAGAATATGTGCATATAGTTGCAAAATCAATAGCAATCATTTACAACATTCATTTATAAAGGCAATTAATTGAAAATAATATATTGTCCGCTATATGCCATAAATTAAAGAAAACGGTAGGTTTTTGACGGTTTTTATCACTGTCATGTCAAAAACCAGTTTTTGACGGCAAAAACCCAACCCTGGATTTAATTAATAGTTTTTTTTAACACATTCACATCCAAGCTTATTAAAAATGAATCAGTTGCCACAAACAAAACAGTAACATTATGTTATGGGAGTCAAGCAGGATTTGTTGATTTAAATCAAATGATTTTTTTAAAAAAATCATTGATTTAAATCAACTGATTTTTTTATATAAATTTAGAAAATTAAAAAAAAACAGTGTTTTAAATTATTGATACTTTTACTATTTTCGTTTCTTAGTTTTAAAATTCTTTTTAAATGAAGTGCTGCATTAATTAATTTTAGTTAATGAAATTACTTTCTTTCTTGATGTATGATAAATTTCAACACATAAGAAATTAAATTTTTAAAAATCTTTTGATTCTTGAAATTCAAAATACAGATTAAAGTAAACATTCAATGCTGTCTTAATATAGACTTGCATAGCTGTAGAAAGTAATTAATAAACATGAATTTTTTCACAAAAAAAATACAAATAATGTTAATTAAAATTCTACCTTTTGATTGAAAAAGCATGGAATTAAAATCTACATTGTATTTTATAGGTGGAAAGTTTATATTTCTAAAGCGTGAGGTTATATTAAAAAGAAATTGCCCTAATATGCCAAAAAATAGAAAGAAAAAAAAAATGCTGATAAATTCAGATATTTTTTTCCTGATATAGTGTCATTCTTCCCTTTCAAACTCTTTCAAAGTCTATTTAAAGCAGTAGGAATATTAACTGGTAACAGAGTGCATGTTTACAGTATCTTTGTCAGACTTTCTATTTCATTACAGATTTTCTATAAAGAAATTTTGCGAAAAAAAATTCCAATGGGTACATAGAATTTTTTCATTTTTCTTTTTTTAGCTTAACTTATTTATTTTGATATGGGATAAAAAATGAATATTTTACTATAAAAATATATAGATGAAATATTTATATATTTTTTGATGAATGACTACATTTATAAACACAATCTGTTACATTTATTTTGTCTTTTTAAAAATCAAGAGAGAAAAAAAAATCACAATTTTAAATTAAAATGTCGGTTTGGTGATTAAAACCTTGTTTTAATAGTCAAAGTATTCATTAAATAAATTCTCTAGTTCATTTAGTCTTTAAATTTCAATCATGTATATTTTTCAAAACGGTTGCTATGCATTCAAAGCTATGTATTATAATGAAAAATTGTTTTAGGTAGTTAGATCTTCCAAAATATCGTTATAATATAGTTTTAATATTAATTTAATTTTGATTAAACATTTATAACGTTTTTTTAATTATAAATCAAAGTTCTTACAGTGTATTTGAATTAAAATCAAAATAATCTGATTTAAATAAAAAAAATTTGACTTTTTTGATTTTTTTTAAAAAAATCACAAACCCTGGAGTCAAGGCAAGCAAACATACTTAATCTTAGTTGCTATCGTTTACAATATTTCACTAACTGATGTCTTAAAAAAACTACCATAAATGGCTGGATTTACACAAAAGTGATTGAATTGAATAAGTTAGCTAGCACAAAAATATATTTGTGCTGACGAACTAGGTATAAACCTAGGATTCTTTCACATCAAATTTAGCACAGCTAACGTATTTATTGCAGTAGAATAAATTGCCACACAAAATGCATATTGATGTATCTTGAAAAATTAATACATAATAAACACAGAAAGATAGTTGGAAATTTTAACACATTTTATAAAGATGCAAAATAGCAATTGATTTTCAAATTCAGCACAACAAATAAAGTATTTTTGCAAAATAAATTCTTATATAAAATGAATATGGCCTTACTTTAATCAGATAATTCTTCATGTTTAAAAGGATAAGAGGGGTAGACTATACTTGAGGGTGCCCCTTGATTCTCGCCAAGTTGTGATCGCGGTTGATCGCCAAGTTGGGCGATGTTGAAACCCAATCGTGATTCTGATTGGTTTAGATTTTAACGTTATTTTTAAATGTTCAATGGTATATGTAATTTCAAAGGTTCGTTAGTTCTACGTTGGATACCGGCTGGTAAGATTACTTTTGAATCTGGTCTATAAGATGGAAGCTATGTGGGCAGTCATAAAAAAGGATTTAAGAAAAAAATGTGACCGCTAGTACAGGCGCCATTCTTTATTCGTATTTTGTCTAATTTATGTGTCAATGGAGCTGCACAGATTCTATTCATGATAAATTTAAACAGTATCTAACTGTTATTAGATAATTGTGTGCACCTAAATCTGAGAATATTCAAGCTTAATAAAGAAGTGAGTTGTTTTTTACCTTTTCTTTCTGCTCCTACTCCATTAATTTTTGCTTCGATTCAAAATCCTTTTTATTGGGTTTATTAGTTTTGCTTATATTGGGTTCATTGCAAGTTTCGCCGATGTTTTGTTGAAATTTTCCAATGTTTTATTGAAATATCATTATGTTTTGGCCGCCGTTTCTGTTACCAGGATGTCCCGCTCAAACAGGAATAACGCCAAACGTAAGTCGCCAATTTCGCCAAGGGGCACCCTCAAGTATACTTTTCCCGGAAAAGAGATTTCTACATTTTAGCAATAACAAAAGGGTGAAAGTAAACACAAAATAAATAAGGGAAAAATAAGGCAATTTAGTAGTGATGTTTGAAAAATGTTCTTTCGAAACATTATTTCTACAAGGGTTAAATATTCCTTCAGTAAAGCACATTATTTTTACTAATGAATGAAACATATTAAATAAAACTTCTTTAACTTAGGAGAATTTAAATTGAATATCTCAACAAACTAGAATACTTTCATCGAAATTTACAAATTATTGAGCCTACAACTAAATATTTTGAATTTAAAGTGCTCTAGTGTATTCAAATAAATGAATAAACACTTGTCAGACTTTATGCACAGCAGCATATATTACTGTACTGAAACATGCAATAAAAAATAATAATATTTATAAATTAAAAACTAATTGAATAGAAGCTCTTTCAAATATAAAATAACACAAAATATAAAATTTGTCTTACTCAAACTCGTCTATTTGCTTCCAAACTTACATTACAGTAGGTAAATAAGAGAGAGAGAGAGAGAAATAACATTTCAAACATAAACACGAACTTATATTCTAATGTTATTTATTTCTAGAGGGAATTTTCCAAATTGTGACGATCTGAACCTTGACCGGAAACTGTAACTTTTTAGTTTCGGTTTGCAAGTTCGTGCATGTGATTTTCGGGGTCTCTATCTTTTAAGGAAT